CATTTGATTTCTACTTTCGATTTGGAAAACGGCCGGGTGCGTTCAGTTGTATGTTCGTTTATTCGCCCTATCACAATGATGGGACCGAACAGGCATGGGACAATGAGTTTTTTTTCATCGAAGAAAACAATGGGACAAAAACATTTTGTAGCATTAAGTACTCACAAGGACACAAACTTTTTTTTTTTCAATGAGTTACAGTACTTTAATCAAGAGAGATAAATTCATTTTATTTAAAAATATATACTTTTTTTCGAAAAAGTCATATCCTAAAAATTGAAAGTCAAACGAAGGATTCAAATGGTAACATAAATCTAATACATAAAGTACAAAGTATAAAAATAAACACCCCCCCCCCCAAATAAAAAAAAAACTTTATCGATATTTTAAATATCTGTAATCTGAAAGACTATTAATTTTGTTCCAATTATTTCACTATCATCAAAATTTTACCATGGGACAGTTACTTTTTTAAGTCTTAAGGCATGGGACAATTTTTTTTAATACGAGTGTCATGGGACACGTACTTTTGTGAAATGAAAATTTTGTTTTGTACCATCTTCGCTAGCCACGGGTTTCCGATCCGATACCTACTCTACAAGTTGTAGAGTAGGTATCGGATCGGAAACCCTTGGCTAGCGAAGTTGGTTTGTAATCCACTAAACGCGCTTCGACCCTTTATAACGTCACTGAGAAATTACGTCGAACGTTTATCCATACGCACATCTATGACCTCTTCACCCCGTACCTGTATTAATACAGTAATAAAAACGCTTGCTTTCATATCAGTGGTGTTATATAAAGGAAAACATTTGCAAAATTAGTGTAAATATTGCGAATTAACGCAAAACTTTCGCGAATAAACGCATAACTTTCGCGTTATATAACGCGCAACTTTTGCTATTTTACCATGGCATTTGCATTAGTCTCAACTTTCCTTTGATTTTGTGATCTAGTTTATTCATTACAATGAATAGCAAAAGGCTATTTGATCTTGAGTATCACAAGTTACACATGTGCAATTTTAATGTTTCTTGCTACTGGGTATTGAATGTGTCTTTCCTCTGTCTTATTATGCGCCCGAATCGATAGATCCGAGGCGTATATTGTTTTTGTCCTGTCTGTCTGTCTGTTTGTTTGTTTGTTTGTTTGTTTGTCTCCACACTTTAACCTTGGCCATAACTTTTGAACCATGAAAGGTAAAAACTTCATATTTGGTATGCATACTTCACTAATTAGGTGCTTTCAAATGACACCAATATTAATGACCTTGTGACCTTGAATGTGACCAATATGCAAAAAATAGCTTTTCTGTCTGCAAACTTTAACCTTCGCCATACTTTTGAACCATGAAAGATAGAGACTTCATATTTAGTATACATACTACACTAATAAAGTACTTTGAAATGACACCAAGGTCAATGACCTGGTGACCTAGACTGTGACCTATATGCTAAAAAACCTTAACTGCTTGTTCGTACCTTTTACCATAACTTTTGAACCATAAAAGATAGAGACTTCATATTTGGTGTGCATAATCCACTCATCTAGTTGACACCAAGGTCAATGACCTTGTGACCTTGACTGTTACCTATGCCTGTGTACTAGCATTTTCGATTTTTGTTGCCGCCGACGCATAGTGTTTCACAAACACAACTTTTTTTTTTTTTTTTTTTTTTTTTTTACCGTCGTCTTTTACAACGCTGTTCAAATAACTCAAAGTCTATGCTGTGAGTTTTCCAAAAGTTAAACTTCATTATTATGAATTTCGTGATAAAAATTACCCCTTTTCGGCGTCATTTTTAACACTATCTAGAGAATTTGAGATAAGTTTATTAAGATCAAGATCTCAGAAAATTAACAAAATGAGGTAAATTTGTCAATTGTGTCCCACCACAAGGATGGAAATTGGATGACCAATGTTCATTTGTCTCCGTTAGACTCACTGTACTGACAGTAGAAATACGTAGAGTTGTATTTTGAGGTTGCACCACGTGGTATGTACCACTGCTTTCAAGAACATTGTTAATATTCAAAGTGTACAAACCCTTTGCTGTATATACCTTGATAGTTTTAATTCATGGCGCTAGTCCACGAACTCTGCAATTACCCATCTTATATATAAATATCGGAGAAAATTTAAGAAAAGTTTACCTCTCCTCCCCGATATATTTGTAATTAACACTATCCAATTATAATAGTTTTTTAAACATCATCATAAGGGCCGTTAAGCTCATGAAATACTAGTAATACATTGTTCACTCACTTTTAATTTACTAAGTTCATGAAGTTATATATAGTTGTACAGTTGTAGTGAATGTTATTGATAAAAACATTTGTAACTTGAGAAAAGTGTAAAGTGGTGATTTTCCTTAAAAAACAAAACAATCAATCTTGAGATTTTTTTGAATTTAACAATTGAAAAACATTTACAAGATTGTAAAATTCATTTTATTAATTGGAGAGGTTTTGTAATAAAATGCAAAATTTGGAAAACTAATATATCGTATTCTCGCATCTTTTCTCCAGTACATCTTCTGAGGAAATGAGATATTTTATAAATTAATTTAATTAAGTTCCCGTCTACGTTTTAACGCTTAAACGACGTATACAATAACGTCAGAAAAGTATATTTTGACGTTACAAAATCAGTCCCAATTTTGTGCGCGCATAGTACTGGGGTTTGAAATTGCGTAACGTGTAACACTGTAAGCAACGGGCGTTTGTGTTTTTGGTCATTTTATCGTTTTGGCTTCATGGATTTCACTGCCAATTTGTACGATGCTTTTATAATGTCCTGTGATGATGTCACACGACACTCATTCATAATTTTCCAATTTATTGGCCGATTTCGACTGTTCGTAAAATTAAAGCATTCCGTAATATGCCTTGATCCTGACAAGTAACAATAACAGATGGAATGTTTGGTAAAGATTTTTTACTTAAAAATAGATTCTTTTCTTGAAACTAAGTTGTTGATAACTCCCCAGGTGTCTAAATCATCGTATTGACCTAAAAACAGCAATAATTGTGTATTATTATATGATTGAATAATTTCCATCTCTCTGATTGGCTGAGATCCAACTATGTTAGAAAAATACTACGTTGTATTGACCTGCACGTGACTTTCCAGGTGAATACAAGGATTTATTTAATTTCCTCACATTGATCTAAAAATAGATCGAGAAATTCCAAATTGATACAAATTGTTTTGGAAAGCTATTTAAGCGACTATGCCTTTTTTTTCATGTGAACAAAACATAAGCGAATATATATTTTCGGGTGAGGATGGTAAGAGGGGATGCAGGAACCCCCCTCCAACACTTTTGCTGATCAATTTTTTTACTTTTTGGCTGTCAGTTTTCCCTGATAATACTTCTTCCTTTCAAAATCTATCCTATAAAAGAGACTGACATTATGTTGTTTTTTTTCAAATTGATACGACTGGTAAGGTTTATTTACATTTTAATTCTGCTTCTCTCTTGTATTTGGCTAGGACTTAATTAAATGCAAACAAGTAATGAGTTGTATCATTTTATCAGTGAATCATATAATAAAACGATTATTGCTGTTTTTTCGGTCAATACAATTATTAGCCATCTTCAAAGTACAATATTCACCTCGCCCTTCGGGCTCGGTGAATATTGTACTCCTCAGATGGCTAAATAATTCGAGCTCAATGAATATTGTACTCCTCAGATGGCGAAATCATTGACCTAAAAAAACAACAATCATTTTATAGAAGTTCCCGTCTGCGTTCATGTTCTAATCTTTCCGTCATTATCAAGTTCCCAGAGTAACATTTCTATATGCATATTATTTCGCGAAAGTTTATGTGAAAGTTACCATTATAACGCAAAAGTTTCGTGTTTATTTGCGAAAGTTAAGCGCTTATAAGCGAAAGTTTCGCGATATAACGCGAAGAATTAATTTTTTTTGAACCCGCGAAAATGCGCACATTCGGGCTTTCGTACTCGGGTAGGTATAGGTTAAAAATGGTTATGAAAGAAGTTGGAAACATGCACCACCACCATGGAATCGAACAATTTGTTATTGTTGTTGTTGTTGTACTTGTGAAGTTTTTCAGGGTAAGATGATTTTAGAATTAGTGTTGGCTCCTTTTTATCGCCTGGATCGATAGATCCCGGGCGTATATTGTTTTTGTCCTGTCTGTCTGTCTGTTTATCTGTTTGTCTGTTTGTCTTTCTGTCTGTTGTCAACTTTAACCTTCGCCATAACTTTTGATCCATAAGAGATAGAGACTTCATATTTGGTATGCATACTCCACTAATAAAGTCCTTTCAAATGACATCAAGGTCAATGACCTTGTGACCTTGACTGTGACCTATATGCTAAAAAATAGCTTTTTCCACTGTTTGTCAGAACTTTTGAACCATAAGAGATAGGGACTTCATATTTGGTATACATACTCCACTAATAAAGTCCTAACAAACGACGACAAGGTCAATGACCTTGTGACCTTGACTGTGACCTATATGCTAAAAATAGGTTTTTCCACTGTTTGTCATTACTTTTGAACCATAGGAGATAGGGACTTCATATTTGGTATGCATACTCCACCAATTGAGTTCTTTCAAATGACACCAAGGTCAATGACCTTGTGACTTTGACTGTGACCAATATGCTAAAAAAAGATTTTTGTACTTTGTTGCTGCCGGGCGCATAGTGTTTCACAAACACATCTTGTTTTTTTTTTTTGTTTCTATGAATACAGTTAAAATTTGTCCGACCAAATACAAAGGAGAAGAAAATTCATACAGGAAAAAACAATATGCACAAAATAATAGGGGAGACGGAGGGTGAGTCTTTCCCGCCCCTTCCCTTGTTTTGATCTCCCTAATCCCGTTTTCCTCTGTTTATTGCCAAGTTAATACATTTATCTATGAAATACATGCAATGGATATCTAAGTAGGATTTTCCACCAGAGTTGATTTCCAAGCATCACGATACACAGATGTATGTAAAAGAATGGGTTTTTTTTTCTAGATCGTATTGGTTTTGATTTCCTATAAATACAAATGAGTCCTCAGACTTCTTCCGGGAAAAATTGTGAAAATTAACTAGTGATAATTTAAATAAATTACAAAATGCGGAAGAACAGGGTGCTAGCTGATATATTCTAGGGATGAAGAACAAAAAGAAAAAGTGTTTACTTTTATTTTTGCTACAAATTTGGCGTCTTCATGCCAGATGTCCGAGGTAAGTGCTACGTTTGAAATTCGCATTATCATCATTAAGATCTCAACAAAACAAGTTAATATCTCCTGTCCAAAAATAAATATATATGGTACTAGTACCTTGAAAAAATAAATATGTCCAATTCTTTCATTTTGCTAATTGACATTTTGTTAATATCTTTTAAAATCATAATTTGCAAGACATTATAATTTCTTAGAATTTGTGAAAGGGAGAACTGCATTCCATGGGGTTCCATGGATACTGAATGCATTGAATACTATATACATTGTACAGTAATTTTTAAAACTACGAGATTTTCACCATCGCCGGTTTATTTTTGCAATATCAAAGGAAAAATGGTAGAAGTTGGGTTATGGCGGTTATTTTTCAGGTCTCGGCTTTTCAGTCCTCAGATTGCATATTGGACCGAGAAGTCAAAACCTGACAAGATGCCGATTTTGTGTCTCTGCGTAAATGAAAATATTTTTTATATAATAAAACAGTTGCATAAAAAGAACATTTTGCAGATTTCATTCTTATTATTTCTATTTACACATAAATGCATCTGAATCGATTTCAAATTTTCATGGACCATCATTCGATCCTATGCTTATATAAAGATAACTATATAGTAGTATCATGTTGTAAATTTTGAATTTACAACATGATACACTTTTTAAAATAAGAAAAATATATAAATAATTTTTTTTTTTACTACGAGGGGTACTTGAAAAATAATTGTTGAGCACTCAAAAAACAATGTACATTTACATGATGTATATTTATAAATACCATGCATGCAGGTTTTTACCATTAATTAAGGAGGAAACAATATCAATGACTATTATATACTTATATAATGAATCATTATTTTTAAAAAACCTTGAAAGATGGTATTATGAAATAAGAATTACAAAAAAAAAACAAAAACAAAAAAAACAAGTAAAATTGATGCAAAACATCAAATCGGCCGCTAACAAAATTTAGCATGTCAAAAAGTACTTTCACAGTTCAAAGCATTCGTGCAAGGAAAGCACATGCTATTCAAAGCTGAAATTATGTCATTTTTATTCCAGGCCAAAATTCATAAATAAATATTTTTAAAAATTAAATAGAAATTTTAGTGCGGCATTTGCTCATCCAATGGATTTATCGATGTAAAAAAGTCAAAAAGCCTATCAAAATGACCCACGTGCTAATACCCTTGATTTTTGTCACAGGATAATGCCTCTATGGTTTCTGTAGTGCAGGCTATGCTGCATGACGCGGTGCAAAATGTAAAAAAAAAAATAATATTTGTGTCATTCGCAGCTGTACAGCATATTCAAACAAGTTTTTACTAGTTGAGCAACTTTTCAATTTTTTATTCACCATGTACTTTTACCACTTTATTATCATGCGGAATTTCACGACAATTTCCTTTAGTATTTTACACACTCCCCCAGGATGGGGAGTACCTGTATTGTAAACTCTTTATTTACCATAAATGATCAATTATCTGATGCAAAATGATAATGAAATTGAAACATAATAACAACGAATAAAACTTAGTTTAAAGCAAGTTTTTAAAATATTTAATCATTTGAGAATTATTTTACTGAACTAATAAAAAAAATAACATCTCATTTCCCCATGTGCACTTTCTAACACAACCACAATTTTATCATCCTGCCAATATATAGCTGTTAATTGTTACGTTGTTTGCAAGAATTTTTATTGATTATTAGAATTAATTAAATCTAAAACAGGACTTCGCCGTCTTACCAAACTTTTTATGTACCCGTAATCCAAGATTCAGGGGCACATAGTTTTTGCTCTGTCTGTCCGTCTGTCTTTCTCGCTGGTAAATTCACACTAAATCCTTTAATTGGTTTTCATATTTCACATGTGCATTCCCAGTAAAAGGACCTTTCTTCAATTACAAACATACATGTTATTTGACCTTTTGACATTGACCTTGAAATTGATCTACTTTTGCAAAAGTTTACAAAACTTGTACCTTGGCCATAACCTTAAAAAAAATCTCGTTATTTCTGAAATGTCAGTAATCACCGTGTAGTAGGGCACATATGGGGTTTCGGTTAAGTAACATATGGGGTTTCAACTCCGAAGCGGTGATTTTTTGCATTTGGAAAATATATTTGTAAAAATCCGTTCCTAATGAAGTCTTCGGGGTCAAATGACATGCGTACAGGTTGTAAGAATGTATTACCTTCCAATTTAGTGCAGTAGGCTGGTTGAAAGCGTTATGGATTCTGCAAACACTTCTGGACAGTTCAGTCGACTGGGAAAAGTTGTGGTGTCGCTGACTTTCTTTGCTTTATAATTTTCAAAAGCGGACCTTTAAAGATCATTTTAAGGATGGTAGATGAAGATTGATATAAAAACAATCCATGGAAACTTTTTTCACTTTTCGCAGTCTCTTTTTCTGTAAGAAATATAAACTTTTGTGGCGCCAAATTCTAATGTGCCTAATGGGGTTTCAAGGTTTGTTAACATGGGGGGGGGGGTTTCAACTCAAATGTTTTTTTTTCTTATGTTTAAATCTTTGGATCTAGATCCTTGTTCATTCATCACGAAGCAAAAGTGAATGGCCAAATGGAAGGCAAAAGATTTGTTTTTCACCGGACTGTGCAAAGATGTTTAAGCACCTCAAATTCTTATTTTTTGATATCTTCGGTCCTGTAAGAGTGCCAAAAGTCCAAAAATAAGAATCCAATGCTTACATTTACATTCTCTAGTTTTATCTCTACATAATTGTAAATTTCATTATACATGTACTTTCTACTGGATAAAGCGCATGTCAGACATGACGTACTTTTAAAAGCCGTCTGTGACATTGAATGTTAAATGCGGGGGGGGGGGGGGTACAAATGTTATATTTTGATGATTAAATTATTCCATTGATTTTAATTAATATGAGTTAATACAATACACATCTTAGCCTTACAAGAGTATTGAAAATGCATATAATTCCAACTATGCATTCTACTGCGCTGTAATAAGGTTTGGTGTGTTTGATAGGATATTGAATGGAATTATATAAAAATTCCGATGGATTTCTAAAAGAAAAGAAATAATTTGAATGTAAAAATATACATACATGAATACTCACTTTAATCTCTATCGGACACCTATCAAATCTATCTAGGGTGTCATTTAAAATTCTGATATTTATGTGTAACTGTTCAGTGGGCGAAACATTTAATTGAACTTTTGTCAAAATAGAATTCAAATTTACGATTGCGTTTTTCCCGAAATTCCGAAGGCTGTTATAAGTCCTATTGAATGTAAGATAAAAGATCTGCGACCGGAAATTTTATAACATTTGACATGTATCTAAAATTATGGAACGAACTACCTTTGCATATTAATCAATCAAAATCTATTGATGTTTTCAAAAACAACTTTAAAAAACACTTCTTTGCATGGATTTTATATATTTTAAATCATTGCTTTCCATGTATATTTGTATACAATGTTACTGCATGTACAACGCCATTGAATATGTTTACATAAAAGAAGGCGTTTAATCAAATAAATCAGTTTCCCATAGAGGCACATTGCGTCTCATAAACACGGAACTGGGTTTCCTTTAAGAAAATGTGGGAAGTAACAAATTTTATTCATGCACAACTCTTCAATACCATTATTTGGCTGTACCGCAACAAAGGTGTGAGTTTTCAATGAAGAATTTCAACAGTAAAATGTTATGCTTGGAAGAAGTGCTCCCGGCTTGTGTATGACGCGCAACCTGTCTCTTGAGTGAGCTTCCACATCTGTTCATCTTTGCACATAGGTGACAACCAAACTTTTTGCCTAACATATGACTATTCTTTTTTATTCTAAAGTATTAAATGGACGAAATCCATATTCTTGAAAGAAAGCAAAGATTTAAACATAGAAAAAAACCTTTGAGTTGAAACCCCCTATGTTAACAAACCTTGAAACCCCATTAGGCACATTAGAATTTGGCCAAAAAAATTTATATTTCTTACAGAAAAAAGAGACTGCGAAAGGTGAAAAAAGTTTCCATGGATTGTTTTTATATCAATCTTCATCTACCATCCTTAAAATGAGTTTTAAAGGTCCGCTTTTGAAAATTATAAAGCAAAGAAAGTCAGCGACACCACAACTTTTCCAAGTCGACTGAACTGTCCAGAAGTGTTTGCAGACTCCGTAAGGTTTTCAACCAGCCTATTGTACTAATTTGGAAGGTAATACATTCACAGGAGTCGGCAATTTTTTCAATAAATAGAAAATAAATGGTAAACAGGCATAAATCCTACCAGTGAGCTTCGCGAGGAGTCGGCAATTTTATCAATAAATAGAAAATAAATGGTAAACAGGCATAAATCCTACCAGTGAGCTTCGCGAACGTACGCTTGCAAAGCTCACTGGTAGGATTTATGCCTGTTTACCATTTATTTTCTATTTATTGATAAAATTGCCGACTCCTGTGATACATTCTTACAACCCGTGCGCGTGTCATTTGGCCCCGAAGACTTCATTAGCAACGGATTTTTACAAATATATTTTCCAAATGCAAAAAATCACCGCTTCGGAGTTGAAACCCCATATGTTACTTAACCGAAACCCCATATGTGCCCTACTACACGGTGGTAATGAGAATGATGTTAAAGGGGCTGGGTGGGAGAGAGGTCGTGGCCATTTTTAGACTATTTTGATCTCCATAATAAGAAGAGCTTCATATAAAGATATACATGTATAACAAAATGATTGAAAATTTTGAAGCTAAAATTTTTCTTTGCCAAATAATAGTGGACAGCTTAAGATGTCATATCCCAAAATTTAATTTATATCTGGTGGTCAATAAAAAGAATAATTAGTTGACCCCCTTAAAGGTGCATAGACACAAATTTGAAGTTAACTCAAATTAGAATTCAGAGTAGAAATTTTCAGGTTAAAGTTGTGTAATTTTTTGCAAAAGATGGTCAAAATTCCAATATCAATAGATCAAACATATGTTGGTATCCAAAGGAAGTCTTGTCAGAAGGAATATACACCTGAAACTTGAAAGCCATTATACTCAAACCAATAAAAAGTAATGCGCAAGGGAAGTTTTTGCGGACAGACAACTAGACAGACAGACAGCTAGATAGACAGAAACCCAAGGCAAAAACTACATACCCCCGCCCCGAATCTTCGAGTGTGAAGACACAAAAAATTAACTTTGTCATAATGATATAATACTGATAAGAATTATTTCTTTCAGCGACCCAAAATTGGTGTGTTGTCCAGATAAGATTTGGGACACCGGAAGAGGAAAATGCATCAGTAAGTTGACATAATTCAACCATAAAATCTATAACTACGAAATTATCTCTGATTAAAATCTTCTACCATTTATATGGTACGTACTACTAACATATGTATTGCTCCTTAATGTACTCATAATAAAACATCTTCTCCAGGTTGTGTTATCGGGTATTCTGGAATCAACTGCACCATACCGTGTCGTTATCCAAGTTATGGAAAGGACTGTCAGTCACAGTGCTCTTGTAGGAAAACGGAATTTTGTAGTCCCTCATACGGCTGTATGCCAATATCAACAGAAGGTATCAATTTCAGTTAAGCATCTCTATATGAATGGGAAAATTCTTGAGAGGGACGTCAAACAACATACAATCAATCAATCAATTTCAGTTTACATTTTATACGAGGAAGGGTAAATTAAAACTATGGTTAATTGAGCTTTACAATTAATTTTATAGAATAGGCATCCGAAGTGTTCTCATTTACAGACGCTGTGATTGCAAAGAATGGAATCATGTTTCTAAATCATTCTAATGTAGTTATTTGATATTTTTGTTAAGTGCCCACAACAGAGAAAAGTCTAGCAACAACTCAAAAAGAATTAGAAAAGATTTCAACAGCAACCACCGTATTTCCCACCACGAGTACGAAATCTAGCCCGGAAGTGGTAACAACGTCTGCTCTCATCCCCGGAAGAATTAGAAGCACGCGCGTGCAAGAAATCAGAGTAAAACCCCAGAGTGGCTTGACTAAAACTCTGTTAGACGATCCCATCTTGGCGAATAGCCCCCTCTTGTTAGGGATTTTTATATTCTGTGGATTGTTCTTACTCCTCTTTGCCGTGTTGGTAATTACACAGATCCGATATAAATGCTTAAAAAATAATGGTAATCCGGGGCACAACCAGGATATTTATCCAAAAGGGAACCCACAGCTTAAATCATACGACGTTATCCACGGCAAAGAATCAAAAGATTTGAAAATTGGATCAAGAGCTGAAACACCGCCAGAACAAAGGGATCCACCGTACGCAGACATTGAAAATTACATTGAAAATGAACAAAAGATGCCCGACAGTGAAGGCCCAAAACCGTGTCAGTCAAATGGCAATGTCCTTTCACAGAAAGACGGACCAACACTGGAGAAAACTATACCAAAGTACATCGAAATTGTAGGCTCCCCTGAACGCGAGTCAACGAGAAAAGGATTAACGAACGATTTGGCGGTCGTCAGCAATACCTACACAACTGACTGCACAAATCCCAAACAATTGTATTTGTCTGTGGTTTAAATTTATCTAGTATGTTTTCAGTACTCGTATTTGCAGATTTGCCTTTTATTCATACACTGAATCGTCTACGGTTGTTTTCGTTTGCGCGGTCATGACAAGGAGCACATGGCGGTGGTGACCGGTCGGCAGGGAATGCTTACTCATCCATGGCAGCTGATCCCACCTCTGATTTTTTTAAAGGTTCATGTTTATATTGCTCCTGATGTGAATCATTTCAGTGGACTATCAAGCTGTTATTTCTGTTTCTCATCTCCATATTTTCCCTATATTCAACTTTAACTCAATCATGATATAGACATTTCAATAAATATATAGTTTGATTTGTGATATCTTGAATTTCCAATTAAATTTCTGGCAAAGAAGACTGAATTTATTATTTTACTAGGGGTAGTTTTAAAACAAAACGAATGGAATACTAGTATATCATTGAAAATTTTCAGTTATATTAGATCATATGGCCATTCTTTAGCTGAACTGGGCCTCTTGCATTTCCCAGTCCTAAATCTACTCTTTGTTGTGTATAATTAATCGGGATATATAAGAACAAGGAAATAATGAATTTGAGGCATCAATATGATGGAAAGTATTGACATCTCAATAAGTCCATATACAGCCTAAACTCTTCTGTACAAAACCTTAATCTCCATTATCATGTACTCACTGGTAAATAAACCAATTTCAAACTGTGTGTTACGAGTGGCATCACAGTATCCCTTCTCTACAACCAGTCTAAAAATCCATACTGTATTGCCTTTCAGACCGTAGTGGAAAAATCCATATCAAAGTGGAAGTAATGATTTAAGTTTAATGTTGATTTTATTAAGAAATTCTTGTAATATTTTGAGGCAAGCTATTGATTAACAAGTTGATGAAACAAGGATATCAACAATGTTGTTTTAAGTCATCATATTCCAAGTTTTACTATTAATAGAATGGCTTGTACTAAGCAAAAACAATCTATCATTAAAGCCAATCATGGAACGATGTGTCCACAAAAGTTACTGGCATGCCCTTGATCACGCAAATCGCAAAATTTTACACCTGCTGAAGAAAATGAATTTCTTCTATGTATTTTAAAATTGTGTATAAAATTTCTAGTAGTGAAAAATATATCTTTGGGAAAATTTCAAGAGCTCCATTTATCACTTTTATACCAACATACTGCTTATTGAAATTTTGATATGTTTATGAACATTCTTTTTTTTTTTAAAGTTCCCTGTAAAGTCTTCTGCACCCCCAACACTCAAAATCCCTCTCCAAGTTCTATAAATGAACTTTATTGTGGGTTATTTTGTCTGCAGCTTTTAAGCTTTAATTTCCTATTCCCTGTCCATTTCCTGAAACTAAGAACGCCCCATATTCACTATTTAACTAACTCCATTGATTACATACTTCCCAGAATTGTATTGTTTAGAGGTTCTTTCCTGTTAAATTATAACGCTGAACATCTGAAAATTTTTCATTTATAGTTTGTTACCATTTACATAATTGTTTACATCATTTTAACAAACATTCATAAAACCTCACATGACAAGTGCATTCAAAAATTAGAAAATTTTAATGAACCCTTCATTTATTTATTTTTTTACAATGACTTTTGATAAGTGTGTTGAAGAACAATCAAGGAAATAAATTTATGATTTTATATTGACAATAGCTGTCAAGAAAATTTAACAGTTTTTACAGTACATTGTTTTTTGCATAAGACCAAAATTTCAGGAAAAAAAAAATCTCTGAAATATTCTAGTGACCTTAATTTAGAGACACTGAAAATTGATATTCCAAATGCCAATGAAAAACCACAGGAAAATTACACTTGGCGAGCCTACGTGAGCATCTAGAATGGACAGATTTTTAAAAAATCTCATTAATTTTAAGAAATTTTCTAAACAATATAACATTACACTTTACTGCACAGTTTATATAAAAATTCTTTTTATTACTTGATTTTATCAATAACATTTCATCACATTAAAACAAAAAGACTGTAACCAAAAGTAAACACAGAATATATCATAACAGTATGTAACCAATCAAACACTAACTTAATAAATGTTGCCCATCTTCTACAAAATGAAGCAGATAAAAGGTCATAAAATAAGAAATCCTCTGTGTTACAAGAGTTTCAACCTCTAAATCGGTAATCTGTAGAATTTCTTATTCTCCAAGGTTTACAGAGATGATGCTTCTCATATTAAAACCATTACTTAAGTAATCATTTACATCATTTAAGTAAGGTGTACAATATCTTTTTTCCCTGGTCAGAGAGCATACTTCTCATCTTGACACCATTACTTGTTCTTCTTCTTTTTCTTCTTCTTTGTCACCTCCTCCTCCGATTCTTCTTCCTCAGCCTCCACCTTGGGCTTCTTCTTCTTCTTCTTGGGTGGCTCCTCCTCTTGGGTGGTGTCCATCTCCTGGGTGGTATCCAGGCCCCCCTCACCCTCGGACTTCCTTTTGTGTTTCTTCTTCTTCTTCTTGGGCTCCTCCTGTGAAATGTTCATCTCCTGTGTGGTATCGGCCTCCTGTGTCGTATCTAGGGTATCATCAGCCGAGGACTTCCTCTTCTCCTTCTTCTTTTTCTTCTCTTTCTTGGCTACTTTAGCCTGAACAACTGCTGCCTGCAACGTTAGATTCATGATTCAGTATTTTCTTCCTCTCAAGTACATTGCTGCTGAAGACTTCTCATTAGTACTGCATTTGTAAACTCTAAATAAATCATCTATCAGCTATTCCAAGTCTGGAGAACTACATCAATACTCATAATGAAGACCTCTCTCCTTTACCATTTTTAATAAAAACTACCTAACCTTTTCATCTGTTCATTTTAAATTTTGTAACACTGAATCTTGCCCTTGTGATTAACTGCTAATAGTACCTAAAGAGTACCTTTTCAGCGCCCAAAATCTGCACTGTAGATGCTGGATATTTGGCCGGATTTGTTAAACGGCCTGCATGTGCAATTAGACGAGCCCCAACCTGCAGTAAAAGAGACATAGATATTCCAATACAAAACAACACAAGCTGTAGCAAGATGATCATTTCATAGATTTCATATTAATATTTAAATAACAAAAGTCATTGTCATTTAAAATAAATAATTTTGACAATACAAAAATACATTTTGTAACTGTATAAAAAAAAAATTAGGCTTCTACAAATTTCCAATGTCTTCTCTCGTTGAATCCTTCTGACTTGATCACCAATAAGAGTTCCCAGTTTAGAAGCCATGGCTGTCATTTAGCTCCTGAGATAGTCAGCCAGACAGAGTCTTTTCCTGTATTCTGTATCTTACGAAACGTATGTTTAATATCCTTGCCCCTTTTGCTAGTAAATAAAATACTATACACATTGTGTTGAGTAAGAAATCCTACACAATGAAAAATTCTTTTGGCATAATTCTAAATGCTCTTTCTCTTTATGCTTAATTGTTTACGCCTTGCTTCGCATCTCAAAGTTTTGAATTACACCACTAAAAAATTCTTCGCATTGATATATAAGGAAAAATCTAATTTTTAACAGAAAGTTTTTACTATAGTAAACCAAAGTTCCAAAGTTTTTACTATGGTAACTCAAAGTTCCATATAATAGTGAATCAAAGTTTTAAAGTTTTCACCAAAGTAAATCAAAGTTCCAAATCCTTTATCATAGTAAATCAAAATTCCAACCAAAGTTTTTACTATAGTTAACGATGGTATTTTTGGTATGGGTTGCCTTAATATTCAATATTGTAGGTTTAAATAATTCTACGGATGGTATTAGATGTAGTCTTTAAAATCATGCAATGTGGAAGTATCAAAGTTTTTTTTAACTGATGTACGTTTACTTACTGCAAAGTAAATTTAAAAAAAAAAATCACTTACTACTGGCAGAATAAAAAACATGAAAGAGACATACTTTTAGTTAGCAATTTAATCTCAACAGAAGACAGTGTACATAATATGGAAACTAAATAAACAAAAAATTAATCCCACGAGGTTAAGGTATGATTAAAGTATTACAATACATTGCTAATTACAAAAATTACATACATGTACAATTCTTTAGGAATTGTGCGATAAATACGCAAAGGTAAACATAATAATATAGCTCCGGTCAGTTTTCAATGATTTCTTATAATATTAGCACTGTATAAAATATATCTCAATTAAGGCTTTTTGTCTTTCGCCAAGATACCTTGATAATTAATACTGAACAACAGTACAAATATTTTGTAATACAAAGTATAGTCAAGATAATGTTAATCAAGGTTACTGTATTACATGTATTTACCCAGAATATATTAACTACTAGTATCTATGATGCCAAATTCCCATTGTTGTCCAAACCTTCATCAAAATAACTTTGTGATTATTTACACTGATTAAGCTTCCATGTCTTTGCATATTATTGGTTCATTGCTGTCATGGAAGCATTCGAGATAATCTTGTTGTTCTTCAATAACTGTTTCGTTCGCTTCCTTAGACTCATCTGGTAAAACTGTTATGTAGCTATTTCTTCTTTTTAGAATAGGTTGTTGATATTCATCAACGGAAAATTCTTCTAAAGTTAATCTTTCCAATTCCGTGTTATCATTAGTAATTTCTTTTGTGACAAGTGAGCAAATTGCCAATTTTGATTCATTTTTGTGAACTTGTCCCATGTTATTTTTAAGATTAAGCAATGATTTTTCATTTGTGTCATCCCCGTCACCCTGCTCAAGTATCTCACTAAGGCGAAATTCATTTCTACGATTGCTGATGGTGGATCCCATTCTTTCAATATTTATAAAGAGCGGTTGAACAGTAGCGTTTGGGTGATTTCTGCTAATGAGTTGAGGATGAAGTATGTATTCTGCGTATGAGGGGACATAATGGTTGCTCATTATGTCCATATTGTGAATTTCCTCGTATATCTCTGGTTGCGTTTGCGGTGTTGGTGCTGATTCGGTTGTTCTTTTGTATCGACGGTAAAGGCAAATGAATAAAGGAACCAGGAAAATTAGAAATGATGACAGCACAGCAATTATAATGGTCGAAGTCAATGAAAAAAACATTTTTTCTAAAATGAAAATAAAAATAACTGCACAAAAATTATCAGTAAGCTAAACATGCAGAATAATAAAATCAGAAGAATTTCGATTATTTTCGAAAAATGATTTTTATTAAGAAATAATTTTTTTTCTATTTTTAAAGCAGTAAACAAAAAATGATGGCTGGCATATATGGAAAGATGTAAAGTGTACTAGTAATTAATTTTTCCTAGGACTGAAATGTCGCTTTCTATGGTTATAAACATTTAAGTGGAATACGGGTCAAACTGAATCCGCCTATAGCTAGATCAACTAAGTCACTAAAGTGGCCTATTGCTATCTGTCGTGGAACATTCGTCTATGAAAAAATAGGCTACTTTATACCAAATTTGGCATACATAACATCTGTGGGTAAAGGTGGAAAGATCCTGGTCATAGCTTCCCCCTCCCTATCCGATGGGTCATGAGAGATGGATTAACCATAAAACTTAAAGCAATATATATATTTAAAAAATCTTTTTTCTTATTTTAACTAAAACTGTTTGCATTCAGTCCTCCACAAAAATTGTTAAATTTATGCCCATATGGTGAGGGGTCTTTAATATACATATATATATATATATATATATATATATATATATAGAGAGAGAGAGAGAGAGAGAGAGAGAGAGAGAGAGAGAGAGAGAGAGAGAGAGAGAATAATACATACCCTTTTCCATATCACATCCTGTATCAGCCCGAGACACCAATATCAGCCAGAGGGCCGAAGGCCCGAGGGCTGATATTGGTCGAGGGCTGATACAGGATGTGATGTGGAAAAGGGTATGTTTTATTATATTTATTACATACTTAGTAATAAAATACAGAACACATTCAGTTGAGAAGAAACTAAGTAAATAACCATGCATGTACTTCTTACATACATGTACATAGTCTAATGTTTCATACGATTTGGGTTTGTTTCTACTTCTATTTCAATGCACTTGATCCGTAGTAATTTGAAAATAATCTATAGTATTACATGTATTTGTAAATTAAGATTAACCTTATTTTCAAAAAGTTAAAATTAAGAGAATATGAACCCACCAAAAATTGTATATGATCACAAGTACTGTTATTGTGGTTTAATTTACTAAGGATGTGATATTGACGTCACAATAGCCCTATCAGCCCTGCAGGGCTGATATGGATTTGCAGGGCTGATACGGATATCAGCCCCGCAAATCCATATCAGCCCTGCAGGGCTGATACGGCTATTGTGACGTCAGCCATATCGCATATGCAAAAAACCTGTATTTATTACTAAGTGTGTAATAAATATATATATTTCAGAACTCCATGAATTCACAGTGGTCGGTATATATATATATATATATATATATATATATATATATATATATATATATATATATATATATATATATATATATATATATATTCAGAACTCCATGAATTCACAGTGGTCGGTATAGTTGTATGGTAAAAATAATTAAAAAGAAAACACGAAGACAACAAAGTAAAGCATTAGCGCTTTCATTAAAAAATCTTCAGATGCTTTACAATCAAGTTTTTTAACTGTCACATAGTAACGTCTTCTATGACGTCATAATTAGCGGAACGTAATACAGTCTCTATGACGTAATTCTCCCAGCAGTTTATTACGGGAAAGTCAAACAATGCTATTTAGCTATGGTTTTAAAGTAGTAATAAAGTGTTTTTCTTTTTCTCTTCGTTGAATTTGGTTTCCGGACATCTTATAGAACGGGAAAACGGTAAATTGTCTCTTCCCGCATATATCTAAATGTTCACTAAGTTTAATTTGTCTGTATTGCGGGTTATTAATATGCTGTTTGTGGACTCTTATCCGAGCTCTCAATGTAGTGCTAGTTTCTCCGATAAAAAATTCGTTACAACCCGGGCATGTTATGACATAAATTAGGTTCTTAGTTTCACAGGACATGTCAGCATTTACAGTGAAATTTCGGCTCCGGAAGTCGTAGCTGGTTCCCTCCACAATATAGTCGCAGGTACCGCATCTTGGGTCATTGCATTTTGTTACGGAACAATTCTTTTCCTTGAAACTGGATGTGCACAGAATTCTTTTTAAATTTTTAGCCTGGCGTTTGCTATTTATAAATTGAACATTTCGGTAAATTGCGTTTGTGTTCTCATCCTCCTTTAGTATCAGGTTTAATTGTTTTACCACTGGTGTTAGGTTTTGCTTACGTGGATTGTGGGTATGAACAAAAGGTATAATTTGTTTTTCCTTCCGATTGTCACGTGTCGTAAGTAGTTGTGTTCTTTCATAAGACTTAGCCTTTTTTATACCATCATCCAGTAGTCGTATAGGGTATTTACGTTTCACAAGAAAAGATTTTAATTCCTCTAGTCGTATATCCCTTGTGCTTTCCTCACTTACTATGGTGCAAATTCTTCTTGCCAGATTATATGGTATCGCTCTCTTGGTATGGTTTGGATGACATGAGCCGAAGTGTAAATACTGATGTGTATCGGTGGCTTTGTAGTATATATCAGTAGTTATCCTTGTATTCTTTTTTTCCACTAACACATCAAGAAATGGTAATTTTTCATCATTCAGCTCTATAGTGAATTGAATATTGGAGTTTAACCCGTTTAGTATTTTGTGAATTTGCGTTAATTTCTCCATGTCGCCGTTTCAAATAATGAAGCAATCGTCCAGGAATCTTTTCCAGTTTGTTTCTATCAAATCAGCAAATTCTTCTCCCCATACTTTAATAAGTTCACTTTTAAGTAACGTTTCAAGATAGCCTAAAGTTAAGGTTGCATATGTTGGTGCTACCTTGGTACCCATTGCAGTGCCTTTGGTTTGGATGTAATGGTTTTCGGCAAATGCAAAAGTATTGTTATTAAGGGGGCCGACTGTGGTTTTATTGTGTGAAAACTACAATAGCGAAACTTTTCATTTTTATACCATATACAGCTTACATTAAATTCAGTGTACATGCAAAGTTTGGGGGAAATCTACCGTCCAGGTATTTTTGAGGGACCGTCTCAAAATACAGGTACAATTACTATAGGATTATATAGGTAAATGCCAATTTTTAGCACTTTAAAGCAAATTATACAAATACTACAATAGAAATTTTGTTCAAACTATAATATTTGATGAGTAAAACTATATTATACAATATATGTAAGAAACATAAAATTCTACCGTCTTGTTACCAGAGGGGGCATCTCAAAATGC